TGTTTTGTTTTTTTTCCCCATAGGTTTTTAACATTCTAAAAGCTCTTAATTCCAAAGAGACTGCAAGCTAGTCAGTGTATTCAGTAGGTGTAATGTATTGTAAGTTGCTTCAGAGGTATTGCAAGTATTACATACAACAATAATAAAACAGTGCATTGACATAAATAAGGAAATTTACTTTTGGTACTTAAGTACTTTTAAAAGCAAGTACTTCTGTACTTTTACTTAAGTAAAAATCTGTCTTTACAACTTTTACTTGTAATAGTGTAATATTTGACCAGCAGTATCTGTACTTTCACTTAAGTAATGGACTTGTGTACTTTGTCCGCCTCTGCACACGCGTCATCCATGTGATCTAAAAGAAAACGTGATTCATCAGACCAGGCAACCTTCTTCCAGTTCTAATGCTCATGTTCCCATTGTAGGCTCTTTGTAGAGGTCATCATGGGCACTCTGACCAGTTTGTGGCTACGCAGCCCCATACACCGCAAACTGTGATGCACTGTGTCTTTTGACAGCTTTCTATAATGGCTAGCATTAAGTTTGTCAGCAATTTGTGTGGGATCAGACCAGTCGGGCTAGCCTTCGCTCCCCACACGCATCAATGAGCTATGCGTGCCTATGACCCTGGCACCGGTTCACACCGGTTATCCTTCTTTGCACCACTTTTGGTAGGTACTAACCACTGTATACTGGGAACACCCCACAAGACTTCCTGTTTTGGAGATGCTGTGACCCAGTCGTCTAGCCATCGCTATTCGGCACTTGTCAGAGTCACTCAGATCTTGTCCCTTGCCCATTTAGTAAAGTATTCTAAGCTACTTGCCGTATGTTCAGACCTGTAGATTGTTTGCTTTGTTTGTGAAAAAGGGACTTAAATTGTTACAACGTTGAATTTTCCTCTTTGTTCGGTTTGCTTTGACAACATTTCAATGCCAAAATGTATTTACACAAGTCATATGTGAGTAAAACTGTCCTCTCATTGGTCAGAGCTGTGGAACTGTGGTGTTGCATACAGCATCATCAATCAAAAAATTTGCTCAGTGGCTTTGTTGTTAATGTAGCCGTTATTCCCACTCTAATTGAGGTTAGAGCCAGTTTTGAGTTTTTTGTTTTTTTTTAATGAAGGGTTGCAGAAATGGGTACACCATTGATTAAATTCAACAAACATGTAATATTCTAGTACTTATTATGTCTTCCATAACTTTAAGTATACTACTCTGACCCTTCTTGAGTGTAAAAATTCATGACTCATCAGTTGTCAAATCTTATCCTGTTTAACTCCTGAAGGAATGTCAATATTGTAAAACCTTTTGAAATTTTTAGCAGAAGTACAGCAAAATAATCATTTATACACAGGTTGTTGTACAGGCTTGTCTAAACTTTATTATAAGCTAAATTTTATAGAATGTTTGATTATCTGCCATAAAATTGTTTATTTGTATTTGGTTTTATTGCCATTTCAGAGTGTGCTCTGCTTTGTTCCAGAAAGTAAATGAGAGTGGAATGGAAGACAGCAGTCCTCTGCCTCCACCCGTGTCATCCCTGCAGGAGAAACCCAGCCGCATCCCACGTGTGGAGACTCCAGTGGACTCCATGCTGAAGGACATGGCCACCATCATCTTCTGCACTTTCCTTCTGGCCGGCTGGGTGGCCTTCATCATCACCTACCCCAAGGTAAACTCTTGGTTTTACTCTTGCCATCTCTCCAAGACTGAATGATTTTCCAAGCTGAATGCTTAGACTAACTAAATGCTAAATTAACTTGCCAACAGTCCATCAATGCAATGTCATGGTGAAGTAATATTGTGTGTTGTGCAGAATCAATTTCTTTATTTGAGAGCTGCAACAAATCATAGGCATCTTGATTACAAAATATTCAGTAGGAAGTATCACTACAGTAATAATGGAACACACAAAAGTGCAAAAAAAAAGATCCAGCAATACAGTCGTAAAAATTATTGCCGTTTATGCATCGGTAAATCAAGCCAGTGACTAAACGGTCAACTTCACATTGTTCCTCTCAGTAGCATGAAAATTTTATTTCAATTGTGATTAATAGGGTTGCACCGAATGTTCGGCAACCGAAATTATTCGGCCGAGAATAGCAAGCGAATTAGCGAAAAGACCGAATAAACTGTACCGAACAATGACTTGACACGATCAAATTGCAACCGGCGTAGAGTGAGAGGCGCAATGCAACAAACATGTCAGCAGTGTGGAAGCATTTAAACTGTCCGAGAAAGACGCAAAAATCATTAAGTGACGTGACATGTGGCCAAGTATGGTGACCCATACTCGGAATTAGTGCTCTGCATTTATCCCATCCAAAGTGCACACACACAGCAGTGAACACACACACACCGTGAACACACACCCGGAGCAGTGGGCAGCCATTTTTGCTGCGGCGCCCGGGGAGCAGTTGGGGGTTTTGCTCAAGGGCACCTCAGTCGTGGTATTGAAGGTGGGAGAGAGCGCTGTACATTCACTCCCCCCACCTACAATCCCTGCCGGTACGAGACTCGAACCCACAACCTTTGGGTTACGAGTCCGACTCTCTAACCATTAGGCCACGACTTCCCATTACAAGCACCGACAGCGAGAGACTGTTTAGTACTGCATCGCATGTCTTCGATGAGAAGAGGAAGGGGTGATTGTTGCTGGTTTACTGTATGATGATTGAAATCGCGAAATGGCCTTAAACAATTAGTAAATAAACTGCAGAACGTTAAGTTTTCTTTATAAATCTACTGTCAACAAAAAGCAAGAACTCCAACATTCATAAATGTTAGTATTATAATTTTACTATTGTTCTGTAAAATAAAATAAAAAGTAAAAGTAAGACAATAATAATGATCATAATTACAACAGCTCTGTTAATACATTTATTATAACATACACACAGTGTTCAAATTGGGATCTGTAATATTTTCTAGTGTTTTAAAAGAAGTCTCTTCTGCTCAGCAAGGCTGCTTTTAATTTTACAGTAAAAAATACATGCCTGATTCAAGGGGGGGGTCTGATGGCCAAAGAATATTATTTTAGTAACTTATTAATTTTAAGTTAAATTGTGCTTTGTTGGTATAATGTCTGCTAGAATGTTAAAAAATGTTTAGTGTTAAATATTTTTAAATTGTTGTTTTGTAATTGATTGTTTCTTTGAAAAACAAGACCAAACAATAAAAAGCAAATTTAATTTATGCAATGGTGAAAAAATTGTCTGTTTGGTACAATTGTTTGGTATTCGGCTTTCGACCCAGTGTTTCATTTTGTTCAGCTTCGGCCAAGAATTTTAATTTCGGTGCATCCCTGGTGATTACATTTTATACTGAAAGCGAGAGAAGAACACGCCCTTTAACATCAGAGTAGCATAACTCCCTTTATCAGAGGTGAAAATGGCTTTTTATTTGTAAATCATGACATTTTTTATGTAAAAGTGCACCCAAGGAAGCATTATAATATTTTTTTTAAATGCAGTTCATGACCACTTCGGCAGCAGCTCATTTTCCAGCCGCCCACTGATCTGCCTCCTGACACTGACTTCCTAGAGGCAGCCCATACCCGCTCTGAGAGCTCCACCCACAGCAGTCCCAACATCACCCCACGAGCATCCAACCATTCCAACATGTCCCAATCTGAGATGGGTCATTCGGCTAATGAGCACGAGGATGCTGGTCAGCAAAACGATAATTCCAGTAGTGCATTGCCGTTTAATCTTGTTTTTCAAATTTGCCTATATTGGTTGACTTCTGTTTTCTCGTCTTTAATTTCAGAGGATGAATCCAATATTGTCAGAATTGGAAACATCACATTCAACCCTAGAGATGTACTTGGACATGGTGCTGAGGGAACTATTGTGTACAGGCAAGTTACATTTACATTTTTTCATTAAGCAAATGCTTTTATCCAAAGCGACTTACCAATGAGGAATACAACAAGCGATTCATTATAAAGAGGTAATTAAACAAGAAAAGTTATCATGTAAATGTTATCGGTAAATCATGATAAAATTCCCCACGGTAAGTATTACCGTTTCATCTTTTAATTATCATTAAAACCGTATTAGATTACCGCGATTTGAACAACTCGCGATAAATAAATACTGTCCAGCATAAATCACAGTTTTAAATAACAGTCTCACGTGCGCACAGCAGCAGAGTAGTTTAGTTTTGAGTGAAAACAGGGCGGAAAAGCTGGGAGGTTTTAAAAGAGTGCTAAGGGAATTATACAAATGAATATATGAATGAATTAATTATATGAATGTACCTCTGAAGGTTCTGACTGTCTTCAGAAACGATTCGATGGCATTTTGTTTTCATCTTCGCTCCATGTAATACCTAAAGGAAGTGTTTTAATCCGCAATACTGCATTGTCCACAGAGTTTACGGGAAACAGCT